TCAGGCTTCCATTTTCTGTGGTGGGAACTGCCTGAAGAGTTAAATCACTCCTTGGTGATAAAGTCCAAGTATGGTTGAAATGAGAAGTTCGTTTTACGTTTTTCTCAGGTGCTGCTGGAGGTCCAGTTTCCACGACCCTGTATGCTGGCAGCATAGGCAGCACCAGAATGGGCCCGACCTTCACCAGCCCTGGGCGCGAAGCAGGTAAGTTGAGTTCACAATAAAGGATCGCCTCGATGGCTGAGCAAGTGGTGTCAGGCAATGCTGCTCGGTACAGTCGTGTACGGACTAAAAGACATCTGGCCCGTTACCCTGAGAGGTGATAGCCCCTATAGCCTTTTGCAGCGGCTGTTGCGTTTTGTTGGTGGTGGTGGTGGTGTCGTGCTTGCTGTACGTGTTGTACTTGTTGTTGTTGTTGTTTTCACCCTGAAGACAAAGGCACAAGGGACAGAGGCTTCAGAGCAGGCCACACAAAGAAAGGAATCAAAGGCCATGTCTTCCATGGCTTCTTTGCACCCGTATTCCCGCATTGCACGTCAGGACCCATTGTACAGCATTCGATACTGGGCGTCCAGTGTCAGTGCTTGGTCTGCCAGTGGCTCTGGGCGTAAATTCACTAGCGTGTATATATGAAAGACTCCCATAGCCAATGACATAGTTATGGGCCCCTAAACTTTCGGGTTTATGCTCAAAGGGAAAACAGGGGACTCAAATCCCTTTGACACCATGGCAGGTGGGTATCTTTCTTCCAAAGAAGGAAGAAAATAATGAAAGGTCTGTCTCAAAAGCGGCAGAGGCAGGATTAGAACCCCGAACCCTTAGCCTCCTCTGGAATGGCTCCGCAGCTCTGGGATCTGTACATAAGAGCATGCATCCAAGAACAACCAAGGAGAATATGCTTGTCTGTGCGCATCGGGGACCGCATTTCAAGGCCTGTTGGGTTCCAGAAGAAAATAGGAGGGCCATTCTGCAAGTGTAGATGATTTTGCTTCAAAGCAAAGAAGCCCGAGTTCAGTTCCCTGCTTCCGCTTAGGCAGTCAGTCACTAATTTCAAGTCCCCGTCCAGTTTCCTCACCTCGGAGTCCCATTTGCCTGGGCTTTGGCTGAGCTGTTGCACGTGTTCCACCGAATACCTGCAGTTGGGCACATAGCTCACCTTCCTGGAAGCCAGAAGGGTTCCAAGTGTGCCTGTCACACCAGAGCATCCACATCTCCTGGGAACTTTGTAGAAAGGCCAGTGTTCAGGCCCACCTGCCTAGAACCAGAAGCTCTGGAGGAGGAGGCCGGCCGCAGTGTCTGAACAAGCACTCAAAGCGCCCGAAGCATATCACGGTTGAGAACATTTCCACTCGTTCGCCACGTCCCTCCCAACTAACGCTTAGTCAATACCCCAACCCAGGGAACTTCCAAAAGTTCAGCTTGTCACCATGTCACTCCACTCCTTCGAATCCCTCCTTGGTTCTGATCGCTTTCAGGATGGATCCCAAAAGTCCATCCCGTACCTTTAGAAATCGTCTCTTTAGTACCCACAATGGGACTTCCCCTGACGTATGGATTAGCAGACCCATGGCCCGATTTTCTTTTCCTCCCTATGTGTTCCCTTAGCCAATTTCCTGCCTTAAAGTTTTTGTGGTAGATAGTTTCTGGGCAGGACTTCCTGAGCGCACGACCCTAGCATGTTCAAAGGTCA